AAGAAGAAGTTACAGGTCTGTGAGAGACAGAGATCTTGCTTGTTTGTAGGTGACCAAATACTTATTTTCCACCATAATTTGCAAATAAATTCATTAAAAATCCTACAATGTGACTTTCTGGATTTTTTTCTTCTCAATTTGTCTGTCATAGTTGACGTGTACCTATGATGAAAATTACAGGCCTCTCTTATCTTTTTAAGTGGGAGAACTTGCACAATTGGTGGCTGACTAAATACTTTTTTTCCCCACTGTATATTTGTTTTAAAGCAGGTTATACAGAGGCTTAGCCTGGGTGCCAGTCTGTTTCTCCTCATGGAATTGTCATGCAATATGCAGAAACAGACTGGCACCCAGGCTAACAAAGAGTAGCTCTTAAATAGAATGTGCCTGTCTGACTAACAGATCTTACTTAATTATACAACGGGTGGTTCTAACCCTGAATGCTGATTGGTTAAAACCGCATTCCAGCCGGTAAAAAATTCCTATTTACTCTGTTCCATCCGACTACGCAATCCACTGTCTCATCAGCCCAGCCAAGCAATTTATAAACTTGATGTCCAATATAAAAAGCATCTAGACATTCTGACATTTCTTTTAGACTAACATTTAGTTTTCAACAGCAGAGATTTGTATAAACCTCTCCGACATTTGCAACATTGTTTCAATATTCAAATTCAATCTCCAGCTGTCCCATAGTAATGAACGTGTCGGGAGTCGGGATGAGACAGACAGGCAGGCAGCGTTTTCAGCCAGTCGAAATCATGAATCAGCTAGTCGATATCATGAATCAGCTGGCATCATTGTTATGGATATATATATACAAAGAAATGTCAATTGAAAAAAGGTAAAACGAAACTAAGTGCTGCTAGTTTGCAAACTTTCCAGCTTCTGTTTGAAGTGATTGTTTCAGCTGTGTTGTTGGCTATCTCCTCTGAACAACAGTGTCCTGATGAGTGAGCACATTTTCTATGCCAGGCAAAATCACGCCTCATTAGCTCATTGTTATGAATGTATCCAAATAAATGTCACCAGAAAACAGCTTATGCAAATGCAGCTACTTTGCTGTTATTCTGGCTGCACTTTTTGACTTGACTGTAAGTTATCCGTGGTTGGCTAGCTAGTAAGCAAGGGATAATAACTATTGCCAGCCAGTATGGCAATGGAACATTTAGGACGAATGACTGGGTCGCGTCCATAGATACAGAACAAAAAGACTGAATGACTGGGTCGCGTCTCTGACCAAGAAGGAGAGTGATGGAGTGCTGCATCAGATGACCTGGCCTCCACAATGAGTTGGACCACAGAGTGAAGGAAAACCAGCCAACAAGTGCTTAGCATGTGGGAACTCCTTCAAGACTGTTGGAAAAGCATTACAGGTGAAGCTGGTTGAGAGAATGTCAAGAGTGTGCAAAGCTGTCAAAGGCAAAGGGTGGCTACTTTGAAGAATTAAAAATCTGAAATATATTTTGATTTGAACATATTTTTGGTTACTACATGATTCCATATGTGTTTTTTCATAGTTTTGATGTCTTCACTATTATTCGACAATGTAGAAAATAGTCAAAATAAAGAAAAACCCTGGAATGAGTAGGTGTGTCCAAACTTGACTGGTACTGTATGTCAATCATTATTTGAATAAGTTGGTAACCCGTTGTATAAAGTGATAATGCCCTCAAAGCCTGTGTTTGGAGGATATCTTGGCACAGTTTGCCGGCCCTCGACTTAGTCTCGGGCCTAACAACACCCGTGCCAATATATCCTTCAAACACTGGCTTCTCTGGCATTATCACTTAAGTAGATGTCAGAGTGGAGTGCAATGACATAACGGTTTTCTTCAATTATTGAGTTATTAGTCACACAATCATCATAGCCCGATGATAAAGAAGTCACAACGAAAGCATGCTGGTGTTTCTCTACATTATATTCCCACATTCACAGTTTTTGTGTGCAATAAGACCAACGCGGCATATGTAATGGTTTGAAAATGGAGCAATAGCTTTCAAACCTTTTAACAACAGTATATTCCCCATGCTGCATTATAGGAGTCTTAAATCTGCATTTATTTCTATGAGAAACTAGACAGAGCACAATAATATACAGGTGTTGTGTGTTGCACAGATACACAGGCGACTGAAATAGCGCATGCACCATACAGTAACACTGACAAGGGTTAACAAGGGCTTCGACATTTTCGTGTGCTATAAGACCAACGTGGCATATTTATAAATAATTTAAAGAATAGAACAATGCATTTCAGACAATATATTTAACAGTAAAAATATAACTGCAACTGTCAAGTCCTCTTAGCCAGGGGGAGATTGTCATTCTCCCTTTTGGCCAATTAACAAAAGTCCCAACATGACTGCATATAATTGTCACAGCAAAATAATCCTGCAGCAACAGGATTTTAACGCTTAGTCCATAATGTTGCTTGATCGGTGGTTAGGCTATTAGCTGGCCAAAAGTAGGCTACATGAAATGTGCAATAGTGTTAATATAACCGTGTGTTAGTGTGGGTTTTCCGTGAATTTATGTAACTCACGAAGCTCATCTGCATTTCCTGCAGTGCAGGAAAATTCTCTGCAACAAAATGGTAAACCAATTAAGATCCTATATCTGTAGAAATAATATTATCAGTACGTACACAAGCAAATCGGCTTGTAATGTAGGTTACAAGCAAATTACTTTCAAATACAGGATGACATCAAGTCAGGACAAATATGTACAAGCAAATCAATTAAATGTTCCCTGATGTACATCTTAACTTAAATCTTAATATAGTACATTTTTTTCAGTAGATCTTTGGACAATATAGTCAGTTAACTCATTACTATGTAGCTATTGAAAATCTGTTTGAGTTGTCCAGGGAAATGTTTAGACTGTCAGTGTTTTCCATCTTCAAGTATCTCTTGCAATGATTCTCTCATGGAGTACCTTTTTAATGCAGATGATGATTTCAAGTAATCACAAATACACACTTGTAAACACTCCACTTTACATTCTCCAAAAATACTAAGGTATTTTTAAATTAGTTCAAAAACCGTTTATATTCTCCTCTTTAAATAGAGATTTCCAGTATCAAATAATGTGACTTGTCTGGTCTGTCACAGAGCAGTCCTGAAGCTTTATACAGACTGCCAGCCTACTAACAACGTCATCACTTCTTGTGAATTCAGTTGTTGACACTCTTTGTCCTCTGACTTAAAAAGATGCACTATGCAGAAATCGCTCTGCCATTTCCTGGTTGGTAAAATTCTAATAGTACACCTAATTTCAGTTTGTGACAAAACAAGCAAGTATAGTATAGAGAATCATTTTACATTCTAAACTGCTGTGAAATGCTGTATCTTTTCCATAACCACAAATATTGTATTTTCAGCTGTAAGAAGCTGGTGTACAAATCCGAAAGTAAAAGACCCAAAAACTAAACTTAACGAAAGCATAGAAATAGCGCACATAGAACAGATCTACTGCTTCTTAGACTTGCTTTCAATGAGAATGACAGAACTATAACTCTTATTTCTATGTGAATTTGGTCTGGTTGCCCAAAAACGTTACATATTGCAGCTTTAAATCTGAGGTACAGGAAATTACTTTCGTACTTTCCAGAACCGATCATTTTTGGTACAAAATGTTCAACTCAGTCATTTCCCATTTCGGAGTGGTTTCATATAAGGTGTACAGTAACCTGCTGTGGTCAAATAATTGATGAAAACACACTGCAAAAAAAATAAAGGTGCTTTGTGGTTCTATATATAATCGTTGAGGGCTATATTATTATATTATGAGGTGAGCAACTTAACCTTTTTTAGTTCTATACAGCAGCATTTATTCTAGCAGTGTACACTGCTTGGGCTCTGCCTCTCTCTTGTTCCCCTTAAAAAAACATATTTTATAACCGCCCATTAACATACACTAAACCACATATTAGGCACAGTAAATCCCTTTCTTTTAGACAAATCAACATGATAAATACACACAGTACAGCACGAGACATGAAACATTTAACTACCTAAACTAGCATCAAACAAATGTCTTACTGTAATTAATATTCATGGCATTTACAACGATGAAATGTGCTACTGTTGTATACCTGATACAGTTAACCTGAATACATGCGTTCCATTTAACTCCTGTAAAATATACCTTAGAACTACGTCAAGTACTATGTATACAGACACATATAACGGCACAATGTGATACAGTTACATTTCCCCAGGTGGATGTCCTATTAAATATTCCCTAATGTGCTATTGTCAAGTCTGTTCTATGAAGCCCATAATCTATCTGTTTATAACTGTACTTATATGTATTACGACTGCCTTATAACTCACTCTGAGCAAGTTCATAATGCATTATAGATACAGTGTTTGCTTAAAATGTTAGTCCATCCATGAGAACAGCTGATAGATAGCATGGCTGTTCTGAGCGAGGATTCTGACAATGAACGAAGGTATAGCAGGTATTTCCCTTATCGTTAAGTTAATATAGCTGATATGTATGCTGGTTAAGTTTTTCCTATGTCAGTGAACACAGATCTTGTTGGTGCGGTATAGCACAATATGCTCATTGTTTTGCATCATTAAGAGAGTGATAGTTAAGTTTCTCATGGATGATAAAGGGCTAAAATACAATTGTTCAATCTCAACATTACTAACAATGGTTTGAAGTTGAGCTTTTGGTTTTTAAAATGCATCCTTATGCTGAAGCTATAATGTACTCACAAATACCCCCCTCCCTCCTTCATAGGTTGCATACCGATTCTCTACCCTTCTCATTGAAAAGCATTGAATTGGTGTAAGCATCGACTGGGGAGAGTTTCAGCTAGCGTTAGAGCGTTTCGCCTAGAGAATTCATGATAGGCAGTGTGCAAGTGCACACTTCAGAAGAAGGATAGAGAATTGGGATGCAACCATAGTTTCCCCCCCTCCCCCCCCTCCTCCTCCCTAGTTGATCATGGGGTCATCCCCGCCAGGCGAGGCCAGCACAGGGACACTAACGAAGGGTACATCCTTGGTCTTGTCCTCCCTGAGCGAGGTGGAGTTGGTCTGGTGGGACACGGAGGTGAAGGACAGATGGTCGTGCTCTAGTATTGCCAGGCGGTCCTGTGGTTTCTCCTTCTTCAGATAGAACATCTTCCTCAGTGTCTTCAGCTGCTGCAGCTCACAGAAGGTCTCCAAGACAACCAGCATCACGACCAGGCCCAGGAGGAGGTAGACTGGAGAGAGAGGAGGGGTTACTAGAGGAACTATTATCAATCACAGAAGGTCTCAAGGACCACCAAGCATCACAATCAGGACAAGCAACAGGTGGGGGTGGGGGGGGGGGGGGGGTTGCATGGAAAAAAAAAATTTTTTTAGCAATATTTACTCATGTATTCATGCGAATAATGCTCATTGAAATGAGAGGGAGAGATGAGTTGACCTTTAGAAGAGGAAGCAACACTAACTGAGACTGAGAAATGAGGTGACCTTAGTAGTGGAAGCAACTTTTGGTGAGAGGAGGTGACCTTAGCAGACGCTCTTATCCAGAGCAACTTACAGTTAGTACATTAATCTTAAGAAAGCTAGGTAGGACAACCACATATCACAGTAAGTACATTTTTCCTCAATAATATAGCTATCAGCAAAGTCAGAGCTAGTAAAAAAAAAAGTTTGAGTGTTAGTTCACAAAAAAAGGGGATGCTGTGGGATTATTTAAGATTCTCTTTGAAGAGGAAGTGTTTCAGATGTTATCGGAAGATGGGCAGGGACTCTACTGTCCTAGCTTCAGGGGGAAGCTGGTTCCACCATTGGGGTGCCAGGACAGAGACGAGGTTGGACTGGGATGAGCGGGAGCTGCCCTCCAGGTAGGGGTGGGAGGGCCAAGAGACCAGAGCTGGCAGAATTGAGTGCTCGGGTTGGGGTGTAGGTTTTGAGCATAGCATAGCAGAGCATAGCATGGTCTTGTAGTGGATGCAAGCTTCCTTGGGACGGTTGAAAACCAGGCGGGCTGCAGCGTTCTAGATAAGTTGCAGGGGTTTGATGGCACAAGCGGGGAGCCCAGCCAACAGCGAGTTGCAGTAATCCAGACGGGAGATGACAAGTGCCTGAATTAGGACCTGCGACGCTTCCGGTGTGAGGTAGGGTCGTACTCTACAGATGTTGTAGAGCATGAACTGCTATGATGTCTGCAGAGAACGACAGGGTGTTGTCCAGGGTCACAGCAAGGTTCTTATCACTCTGGGATGGGGCCACTGTGGAGTTGTCAACCATGATGGAGAGGTCTTTGAGTGGGCAGGCCTTCCCGGGAGGAAGAGCAGCGCAGTCTTGTCGAGGTTGAGCTTGAGGTGGTGGGCCGACATCCAAGCGGAGATATCTGCCAGGCACGCAGAGATGCGTGTTGCCACTCGGGTGTCAGAAGGGGGGAAGGAGAAAAGTAGTTAAGTGTCAACCGCATAGCAATGATAGGAGAAACCATGTGAGGATATGACGGAGCTGAGTGACGTGGTGTATAGAGAGAAGAGGAGAGGGCCTAGAACCGAGCCCCAGGGTACACCAGTCGTGGGAGTACGTGCTGCTGACGCAGATCATCTCCACGTCACCATGTAGGACGCAACCCATGAGTGTGCAGAGCCTGAGATGCCCAGCCCTGATGGTTCATGGTGTCGAAGGCAGCGGCTAGATCTAGGAGGATGAGAACAGAGGATAGCTTTGGCAGTGTGGAGAGCCTCCGTGACATAGAGAAGAGCAGTCTCGGTTGAGTGACCTGTCTTGAATTCTGACTGGTTAGGGTCACGAAGATAGTTCTGAGAGAGCGATAGCGAGAGAGTTGGTCAGAGACAGTACGCTCAAGTGTTTTGGAAAGAAAAGAAAGGGATACCGGTCTGTAGTTTTTGACGTCAGAGGAATCGAGTGTTGGTTTCTTGAGGAGAGGAGCGACTCGGGCCATTTTGAAGTCAGAGGTGACGTAGTCAGGGATGAGTTGATGAGGGAAGTGAGGAATGGGAAAAGGTCTCTAGAGATAGTCTGGAGGAGGGGATGGGGTCGAGCGGGCAGGATGTCGGGCGGCCGGACCTCACTAGTCGCAGGATTTCATCTGGAGAGAGAGAGGGGAGAAAGATGTCAAGACGTAGGGTAGTTCTGTGTGAAAGGGACCAGTGGACTCAAATCGGCTGAGTGAATGAGAAGCGGATGTCGTTAACCTTCTTTTCAAAGTGGTTGACAAATTTGTCCGCAGAGAGGGAGGGGGTGGATGATTAAGGAGGGAGGAGAAGGTGGAAAGGTGTTTACTAGGGTTAGAGGCAGAAGCTTGACATTTAGAGTGATATAAAGTGGCTTTAGCGGCAGATACAGATGAAGAGAAGGTAGAGAGGAGGGAGTGGAAGGATGATAGGTCCTCCGGAAGGTTAGTTTTTCTCCATTTTCGCTCAGCTGCTCTCAACCTTGTTCTGTAAGTTCGCAATGAAACACTCGGCCACGGAGCAGGAGGGGAGGGCCGAGCCGGCCGGGAGGAAAGGGGACAGTGCGAGTCATAGGATGCGGAAATTGAGGAGTAGAGTTGAAAAGGCAGAATCAGGAGATAGGAGGGAGAAGGATTTAGCAGAAGGGAGAGATGATAGGAGAGGAGACAGTAGTGGGAGAGAGAGCGCTAAGATTGCGACGGGGCATGACCGTCTGTATAGGGGCTGAGTGGCTAGGGTTGGAGGAAAGGGAGACAAAAGGAAACAAAGTAGTGATCAGAGACCTGGAGGAGGGTTGCAGTGAGATTAGCAGGCGAACAGCCTCGAGTAAAGATGAGGTCAAGCGTATTGCCTGCTTTGTGAGTGGGAGGGGACTGGGAAAGGGTGAGGTCAAGAGGCAAGGAGGGGAAAGAGAGAGATGGAAAGAAATTAAATCAAAGACAGACTTCTGGAGGTTGAAGTCGCCAAGTACGAAGAGAGGTGAGCCATTGTCAGAAAATGAGCTTATCAAAGTGTCAAGCTCATTGAGGAATAAAAAAGAAAGAACCAACTCTAAGGGCACCTGGTGGGTGATTGTTGTTGTCATCTATGTTACGCTTGAGTGGACAAGTGACAGCATGTAATTCAAATGAAGAGATGGACAGGCGAGAGAGGGAGAAAATAGAAAATCTCCAATTTGGAGAAATGAGTAGCCCTGTGCCACCACCGCGACGACCAGATGCTCTCGGACTATGAGAGAAAACTTAGTCAGATGAAGAGAGAGCAGCTGGAGTAGCAGTGTTCTCTGGGGTGATCTAGGTCTCCGTCAGGGCCAAAAAGTCAAGGGACTGAAGGGCAGCATAGGCTGAGATGAACTCTGTGTTCTTGAAAGCAGATCAGCAGTTCCAAATGCTGCCAGAGACCAAGAATTCCACATGGGTTGTGCGCGCATGGTACACTAAATTAGAAGAGTTGCAGCCAAGGTGTGGGGAGCATCTGTAAAGTCTACATGGAGAAGAGCGAACTGGGATAGAAAACACACAGTCACCAAAGCTACAAAAGAGCAAAATTAGATCATCTGAAAATAACTAGGTAAAATACTCAAGAGAGAGTTACGTGGCGCCTTCCCCTCTTTCCTTCCTCGAACAACTCCACAGAACTGTCTTTGGTTCAGCGACGGTCTTAGTTTTGCGACAAGACCTCCACTGACACGGTCGCAGCTGAACTTAGAAGAGGAAGAAACACTAGGAGAGAAGTGACCAGATTTTTTTTACCAGCCAAAATATTAGTATGCTTTCTAATGTTTCAAAAACAACTAAATGTATTACTAGCTTAACTTCATTTCGTTTTTGTGACCTGCGTCTTTTAACCAATGTATACTACATGGCCAAAAGGTTGTGGACACCACTTAGAATTAGTGGATTCGGCTACACCCTGACAGGTGTATAGAATCGAGCACACAGCCATGCAACCTCCATAGACAAACATTGGCAGTAGCATTGCCTGTACTGAAGAGCTCAGTGACATTCAACATGGACCCCTTCATAGGATGCCAACTTTCCAACAAGTCAGTTTGTAAGAATTCTGCCCTGCTAGAGCTGCCTAGGTCAACTGTAAGTGCTGTTATTGTGAAGTGGAAATGTCTAGGAGCAACAACGGCTCAGCCGCGTAGTGGTAGGCCACACAAGCTCACAGAACAGTACCGCCGAGTGCTGAAGTGCGTAGTGCATAAAAAATAATCTGTCCTCGGTTGCAACACTCACTACCGAGTTCCAAACTGCCTCTGGAAACAACGTCAGCCAAATAACTGTTCATCAGGAGCTTCATGAAATGGGTTTCCATGGCCGAGCAGCCGCACACAAGCCTAAGATCACCATGTGCAATGCCAAGCGTCGGCTGGAGTGGGGTAATGCTCGCCGCCATTGAACTCTAGAGCAGTGGACACGCGTTCTCTGGAGTGATTAATCATGCTTCACCATCTGGCAGTCTGACGGACAAATCTGCCCCAATGCATAGTGCCAACTGTAAAGTTTGGTGGAGGAGGAATAATGGTCTGGAGCTGTTTTTCATGGTTCGGGCTAGGCCCCTTAGTTCCAGTGAAGGGAAATCTTAACGCTACAGCATACAAATGACATTCTAGATGATTCTGTGCTTCCAACTTTGTGGCAATAATTCATTTGATGATACAGCAGTAACAATACAAGGATATACACCTGGCACATCTAAAGCCTTTTCTTTTGGGGTGTTGCTATAGGCCACCAAGCGCTAACAGTCAGTATCTAAATAACATGTGTGAAATGCTTGATAGTGTATGTGATGTAAACAGAGAGGTCTACTTTATTGGGAACCTGAATATTGACTGATTTTCATCAAGCTATCCGCTCAAGAGGAAGCTTCCCGCTGTAACCAGTGCCTGTAATCTGGTTCAGGTTATTAATCAACCTACCAGGGTGTTTACAAACACTACAGAAACAAGATCATTCACAAGTATTGGTCACATTTTTAGTAATACTGTAGAACTTTGTTCTAAAGCTGTATCCGTACCCATTGGATGCAGTGATCACAATATAGTGGCTATATTAGGCCTAAAATAGTGTATAAGAGATCATACAAAATATTTTGCTGTGACTTATATGGATGATGTTAAAAATATTTGTTGGTCTGATGTGATTAATAAGGAACATCCAGATGTTGCACTTGATGAATTTGTGAAATTGCTTCTTCCAATTATTGATAAACATGCACCTGTTAGGAAATTGACTGTTAGAACTGTTAAGGCTCCATGAATTGATGAGGAATTGAAACACGGTATGGTTGAAAGAGATGGGACAAAAGGAGTGGCTAATAAGTCTGGCTGCACATCTGACTGGCTGACTTACTGAAAATTGAGAAATTATGTGACTAAACTCATGGCTTATTCATTAGAAAACCATTTGATATTGCCAATTATTTTAATGATTACTTCAATGGCAAAGTGGGCAAACTTAGGCAGGAAATGCCAACAACGAACAGTGAGCCATCTTACTCATGCATAAAAAAAAAAAAATGAAAGAAAGAAAAGCCTTGCAAGTTATAATTTTTTTAAGTTAATGTGAGAGAGGTGGAAAAATTATTGATATCGATCAATAATGACAAACCTCCTGGCATTGACAACTTAAATGGAAAGCTACGGAGGATGGTAGCTGACTATATAGCCACTCATATCTTTATTCTGAGCCTAGAGGAAAGACTTTGTCCTCAGGCCTGGAGGGAAGCTAAAGTCTTTCCACTACACAAGAGTGGTAAAGCGGTCTTTACTGGTTCTAACAGCAGACCTATCAGCTTGCTGCCAGCTCTTAGCAAACTATTGGAAAAAATTGTGTTTGACAAGATACAATGCTATTTCTCTGTAAACAAATTAACAGACTTTCAGCATGCTTATATACAGTGAGGGGAAAAAGTATTTGATCCCCTGCTGATTTTGTACGTTTGCCCACTGACAAAGAAATGATCAGTCTATAATTTTAATGGTAGGTTTATTTGAACAGTGAGAGACGGAATAACAACAAAAAAATCCACAAAAACACATGTCAAAATTTTTTGAAATTGATTTGCATTTTAATGAGGGAAATAAGTATTTGAACCCCTCTCAATCAGAAAGATTTCTGGCTCCCAGGTGTCTTTTATACAGGTAACGAGCTGAGATTAGGAGCACACAGCTTGTTACCTGTATAAAAAGACACCTGTCCACAGAAGCAATCAATCAGATTCCAAACTCTCCACCATGGCCAAGACCAAAGAGCTCTCAAAGGATGTCGGGGACAAGATTGTAGACCTACACAAGGCTGGAATGGGCTACAAGACCATCGCCAAGCAGCTTGGTGAGAAGGTGACAACAGTTGGTGTGATTATTCGCAAATGGAAGAAACACAAAATAACTGTCAATCTCCCTCGGCCTGGGGCTCCATGCAAGATCTCACCTTGTGGAGTTGCAATGATCATGAGAACGGTGAGGAATCAGCCCAGAACTACACGGCAGGTAGCTTAGTGGGTAAGAGCGTTGTGCCAGTAACCGAAAGGTCGCTGGTTCTAATCCCCGAGCCGACTAGGTGAAAAATCTGTCGATGTGCCCTTAAGCAAGGCACTTAACCCTAATTGCTCCTGTAAGTCGCTCTGGATAAGAGCGTCTGCTAAATGTATAATAAATAAAATAAATAAATCTTGTCAATGATCTCAAGGCAGCTGGGACCATAGTCACCAAGAAAACAATTGGTAACACACTACGCCGTGAAGGACTGAAATCCTGCAGCTCGCAAGGTCCCCCTGCTCAAGAAAGCACATATACAGGGCCGTCTGAAGTTTGCCAATGAACATCTGAATGATTCAGATGAGAACTGGGGGAAAGTGTTGTGGTCAGATGAGACCAAAATCGAGCTCTTTGGCATCAACTCAACTCGCCGTGTTTGGAGGAGGAGGAATGCTGCCTATGACCCCAAGAACACCATCCCCACCGTCAAACATGGAGGTGGAAACATTATGCTTTGGGGGTGTTTTTCTGATAAGGGGACAGGACAACTTCACCGCATCAAAGGGACGATGGACGGGGCCATGTACCGTCAAATCATGGGTGAGAACCTCCTTTCCTCAGCCAGGGCATTGTGGATGGGTATTCCAGCATGACAATGACCCAAAACACACGGCCAAGGCAACAAAGGAGTGGCTCAAGAAGAAGCACATTAAGGTCCTGGAGTGGCCTAGCCAGTCTCCAGACCTTAATCCCATAGAAAATCTGTGGAGGGAGCTGAAGGTTCGAGTTGCCAAACGTCAGGCTCGAAACCTTAATGACTTGGAGAAGATCTGCAAAGAGAGTGGGACAAACTCCTCCTTAAATGTGTGCAAACCTGGTGGCCAACTACAAGAAACGTCTGACCTCTGTGATTGCCAACAAGGGTTTTGCCACCAAGTACTAAGTCATGTTTTGCAGAGGGGTCAAATACTTATTTCCCTCATTAAAATGCAAATCAATTTATAAAAATGTTTGACATGTGTTTTTCTGGATTTTGTTGTTGTTATTCTGTCTCTCACTGTTCAAATAAACCTACCATTAAAATTATAGACTGATCAAGTCTTTGTCAGTGGGCAAACGTACAACATCAGCAGGGGATCAAATACTTTTTTCCCTCACTGTAGAAGAGCACTCAACATGTACTGCACTGACAAATGATGATTGGTTGAAAGAAATTGATAATAAGATTGTGGGAGCTGTACTGTTAAATTTCAGTGCAGCCTTTAATATTATTGACCATATCCTTTTGTTGAGAAAAAGTATGTGTTTTTGCTTTTCAACCTCTGCCATATCGTGGATTCAGAGCTATCTAACAGAACTCAAACGGTTCTCTTTAATGGAAGCTTCTCTATTGTCAAACATGTAAAGTGTGGTCTACCGCAGGTCACCTCTCTAGGCCCTATACTCTTTTCTATTTTTACCAATGACCTGCCACTGGCTTTTAAAAAAGCATGCGTGCCCATATATGCTAATGATTCAACCACTGATGCATTAGCAACCACAGCTAATGCCCCGTTTTTACAGATGCTGACGGGAGAGGTTGTGTTTTCTCTAGCAGGAGGTAAGCTTGGCTTCTTATATGGTGTTGAGTAAAGCTTAAACCATGTATTTAGATTGTAGGTAGGTATTGTAGTTAGGTATTATAGGTAGTTTACTCAGGTAGTTATTGTAGGTTATTGTAGGTAATTATTGTAGGTAAGGACTGTATTCGGCGGACCCCGGCGAAGCACGAGGCTAGCCTACCCACTACTTGGACCAACAAAGCTAGCTAGCTAGCGGGTAGCTACCGGTAACTTTTAGCAACTGTGGTTAGCTGTTTCCAATGTTATTTCACGCTTAAGAGTACCTGTAATTGAGCCAGCTAGCTGCCACCTTCAGCTGTTTTTCTAACCTCATTATCATTAACGTTAGGTGGTTGGTAGCTGCTGTACTTAATTTCGGCTACTGATTGCAGTCTGCCAGTTTGGCTTTATACATAGCTTGGGCTTTGTCGAGTAAGGCTTAAACTATGTATTTAGATTGTAGTTAGGTACTATAGGTAGGCATCGTGGGCTGTATATTATTAAGTAGTATAGGTAGGCATCGTGGGCTGTTGTAGGTAGCTGTTGTGTAGTTATTGTAGGTTACTTTTGTATTCGGCGGTGCCGGATGTAGCACGAAGCTAGCTAGCTAACTCACCTCCTGGATTAGCTGGCGAGTTGCTATTAGCAACGGTTGCAACTAAAAAACAATATCCTTTTAGCCAGCTACATTCGTTCGCAGCGACGCCGTTTTTCAAACAAAGTCAACACAGTAGCCATTGCTAGCCAGCCAACACTACCAGCAGGCTGTACTGTGGTAGCTAAATACAATATCTTTGTGCTAGCTACCCAACGTTTAATCGTTGCTGCGTTATGAAAGGTAAGCTTGGCTTCTTATATGGTGTTGAGTTAAGCTTAAACCATGTATTTAGATTGTAGGTAGGTATTGTAGTTTGGTATTATAGGTAGCTTACTCAGGTAGTTATTGAAGGTTATTGTAGGTAATTATTGTAGGTAAGGACTGTATTCGGCGGACTCCGGCGAAGCACGAGGCTAGCCTACCCTCTACTTGGACCAACAAGCTACCTATAATACGGGTAGCTACTGGTAACTTTTTGCAACTGTGGTTAATTGTTTCCAATGTTATTTCATGCTTAAGAGTACCTGTGATTGAGCCAGCTAGCTGCTACCATTCAGCTGTTTTTCTAACCTCATCCGAGGCATTAACGTTAGGTGGTTGGTAGCTGCTGTACTTAATTACAGCTACTGATAACAGTCTGCTGTAGTTTACAACAATTCTAATTTCTAAAGTGGAAGTTGGGAGAGTTTTACTCGGGTGATTCAGTGAAACAATTATAGTTTCTGAGGTGGAAGTTGGGAGAGTTATATATATATTTTTTTTTTTGGGTGAGGGAGGCCTGCTCTCTCATTTCCCTGATGTTTAGTTCATTTCATCCCGATCTCCTCTGCATTATTGTATCCATCTGCTGCAGCCTGTCAACTATCCCTCTGCCTATCTCTGTTCTCTCCTCTCCGCACAGGCTACACAAACGCCTCACACCGCGTGGCTGCTGCCTCTCTAACCTGGTGGTCCCTGCACGCACCACACACCTGGAGTTCCAGGTCTCAGGCAGCCTCTGGAACTGCCGTTCTGCCGCCAACAAGGCTGACTTCATCCCAGCCTATGCTACCCTCCAGTCCCTCGACTTCCTGGCACTGACGGAAACATGGATTACCACTGAAAACACTGCTACTCCTACTGCTCTCTCCTCGTCTGACCATGTGTTCTCGCATACCCCGAGAGCATCTGGTCAGAGGGGTGGTGGCACAGGAATCCTCATCTCTCCCAAGTGGTCATTCTCAATTTTTCCCCTAACCCATCTGTCTATCTCCTCATTTGAATTCCACGCTGTCACAGTCACTAGCCCATTTAAGCTTAATATCCTTGTCATCTATCGCCCTCCAGGTTCCCTTGGAGAGTTCATCAATGAGCTTGACGCCTTGATAAGTTCCTTTCCTGAGGATGGCTCACCCCTCACAGTTCTGGGGGATTTCAACCTCCCCACGTCTACATTTGACTCATTTCTCTCTGCCTCCTTCTTTCCACTCCTCTCCTCTTTTGACCTCACCCTCTCACCACAAGGCAGGCAATACGCTTGACTTCATCTTTACTAGATGTTGCTCTTCTACTAATCTCACTGCAACTCCCCTCCATGTCTCCGACCACTACTTTGTATCCTTTTCTCTCTCGCTCTCCTCCAACACTACTCACTCTGCCCCTACACAGATGGTAACGCGCTGCCTCCTCAACCCTCCTCTCCTCCCTTTCTGCATCCTTTGACTCCCTGTGTCCCCTATCCTCCCGGCCGGCTCGGTCCTCCCCTCCAGCTCTGTGGCTTGATGACTCATTGCGAGCTCACAGAACAGAGCTCCGGGCAGCTGATCGGAAATGGAAGAAAACTAAACTCCCTGCCGACCTGGCATCTTTTCACTCCCTCCTCTCTACATTTTCTTCATCTGTTTCTGCTGCTAAGGCCACTTTCTACCACTCTAAATTCCAAGCATCTGCCTCTAACCCTAGGAAGCTCTTTGCCACATTCTCCTCACTGCTGAATCCCCCCCTCCTCCCTCTCTGTGGATGACTTTGTCAACCACTTTGAAAAGAAGGTTGACGACATCCGATCCTCGTTTGTTAAGTCTAATGACACTGCTGGTCCTGCTCACACTGCCCTACCCTATGCTTTGACTTCTTTCTCCCCTCTCTCTCCAGATAAAATCTTGCGACTAGTGACTGCAGGCCGCCCAACAACCTGCCCGCTTGACCCCATCCCCTCCTCTCTTCTCCAGACCATCTCCGCTGACCTTCTCCCCTACCTCACCTCGCTGATCAACTCATCCTTGACCGCTGGCCATGTCCCTTCTGTCTTCAAGAGAGCGAGAGTTGCACCCCTTCTCAAAAAACCAACACTCGATCCCACTGATGTCAACAACTACAGACCAGTATCCCTTCTTTCTTTTCTTTCCAAAACTATTGAGCGTGCCGTCTTTAGCCAACTCTCTTGCTATCTCTCTCAGAATGACCTTCTTGATCCAAACCAGTCAGGTTTCAGGACTGGTCATTCAACTGAGACTGCTCTTCTCTGTGTCACGGAGGCTCTCCGCACTGCTAAAGCTAACTCTCTCTCCTCTGCTCTTGTCCTTCTAGACCTGTCTGCTGCCTTTGATACAGTGAACCATCAGATCCTCCTCTCCACCCTCTCCGAGCTGGGCATCTCCGGCGCGGCTCACTCCTGGATTGCGTCCTACCTGACCGGTCGCTCCTACCAAGTGGCGTGGCGAGAAGCTGTCTCCGCACCACGTGCTCTCACCACTGGTGTCCCCCAGGGCTCAGTTCTAGGCCCTCTCCTTTTCTCCCTATACACCAAGTCACTTGGCTCTGTCATATCCTCACATGGCCTCTCCTATCATTGCTACACTGACGATACAACTAATCTTCTCCTTTCCCCCTTCTGATAACCAGGTGGCGAATCGCATCTCTGCATGTCTGGCCGACATATCAGTATGGATGACGGATCACCACCTCAAGCTGAACCCTGGCAAGACGGAGCTGCTCTTCCTCCCGGGGAAGGACTGCCCGTTCCATGATCTCGCCATCACGGTTGACAACTCCGTTGTGTCCTCCTCCCAGAGTGCGAAGAGCCTTGGCGTGATCCTGGACAACACCCTGTCGTTCTCCGCCAACATCAAGGCGGTGACCCGATCCTGCAGGTTCATGCTCTACAACATTCGGAGAGTACGACCCTGCCTTACACAGGAAGCGGCACAGGTCCTAATCCAGGCACTTGTCATCTCCCGTCTGGATTACTGCAACTCGCTGTTGGCTGGGCTCCCTGCCTGTGCCATTAAACCCCTACAACTCATCCAGAATGCCGCAGCCCGTCTGGTGTTCAACCTTCCCAAGTTCTCTCACGTCACCCCCCTCCTCCGCACACTCCACTGGCTTCCAGTTGAAGCTCGCATCCGTTACAAGACCATGGTGCTTGCCTATGGAGCAGTGAGGGGAACGGCACCTCTGTACCTTCAGGCTCTGATCAGTCCCTACACCCAGGCGAGGGCATTGCGTTCATCCACCTCTGGCCTGCTGGCTCCCCTTCCTCTGCGGAAGCATAGTTCCCGCTCAGCCTAGTCAAAGCTGTTCGCTGCTCTGGCACCCCAATGGTGGAACAAGCTCCCTCACGACGCCAGGACAGCGGAGTCACTCACCACCTTCCGGAGACATTTGAAAGCCCACCTCTTTAAGGAACACCTGGGATAGGATAAAGTAATCCTTCTACCCCCCCCCCCCCCCCCCCCAAAAAAAAAAAAAAGAAAAGAAAAAAAAGTATAATTGTAAAGTGGTTATCCCACTGGCTATAGGGTGAATGCACCAATTTGTAGTCGCTCTGGATAAGAGCGTCTGCTAAATGACGTAAATGTGCCCTTGAGCAAGGCACTTAACCCTAATTGCTCCTGTAAGTCGCTCTGGATAAGAGCGTCTGCTAAATGACTAAAATGTAAATGTAAATGTAATGAAGTCATTGAAACCCTTAACAAAGAGTTGCAGTCTGTTTTGGAATGGGTGGCCAGTAATAAACTAGTCCTCAACATCTCTAAAACTAAGAGCATTGTATTTGGTACAAATCATTCCCTAAGTTTTAGACCTCAGCTGAATCTGGTAATGAATGGTGTGGCTGTTGAACAAGTTGAGGAGACTAAATTACTTGGTGTTACCTTAGATTTTAAACTGTCATGGTCAAAACATATAGATTCAATGGTTGTAAAGATGTGGAGAGGTCTGTCTGTAATAAAGACATGCTCTGCTTTTTTTGACACCACACTCCACAAAGCAAGTCCTGCAGGCTCTAGTTTTATCTTATATAGATTATTGTCATGTCATATGCTTAGGTGCTGCAAAGAAATACCTAGTTAAGCAGCAGCTGGCCCAGAACAGAGGGCTAATATTAATACTATGCATGCCAGTCACTCTTGGCTAAGAGTTGAGGAAAGAAACATTAATGTGTTGGAAATTCCAAATGGTTTGCATAGTCAACTTACACACAGCACTGACACAGCACAGTCCCCAGGTCCAGAACAAACTCAAGGAAACATACAGTATATCCATCTTATAAAGCACAAGTGAACAGCAAACCTGGTTTCAAAAAAACAAAGCGACACCACACGGCACAACGCCGCTCCCCCATGTGACCTAGTTTTTGTGTACTGTTGTGTTTTTGTGTTATGTACTGACATGTATGTGTAACTGATAAATGCACAAACACTACATGTTTTGAAATGTACAGTACCAGTCAAAAGTTTGGACACACCTACTCATTCAAGGGTTTTTATTTATTTTTACTATTTTCTACATTGTAGAATAATAGTGAAGACATTAAAACTATGAAATAACACATATGGAATCATGTAGTAACCAAATAAGTGTTAAACAAATCAAAATAAATTTTATATTTGAGATTCTTCAAAGTAGCCAGCCTTTGCCTTGATGACAGCTTTGCACACTCTTGGCATTCTTTCAACCAGCTTCACCTGGAATGCTTTTCCAACAGTCTTAAATGAGTTCTCAAATATGCTGAACACTTGTTGGCTGCTTTTCCTTCACTCTGCGGTCCAACTAATTGTGGAGGCCAGGTCATCTGATGCAGCACTCCATCACTCTCCTTGGTCAAATAGCCCTTACACAGCCTAGAGGTGTGTTTTGGGTCATTGTCCTGTTGAAAAACAAATGAAAGTCCCACTAAGCCCAAACCAAATGGGATGGCGTATCGCTGCAGAATGCCGTGGTAGCCATGCTGGGTAAGTGTGCCTTGAATTCTAAATAAATCACAGACAGTGTCACCAGCAAAGCACCCCCACACCATCACACCTCCTCCTCCATGCTTCATGGTGGGAACCACACATGCGGATATCATCTGCTCACCTACTCTGCGTCTCACAAAGACACAGCGGTTGGAACCAAAAATCTCAAATTTGGACTCATCAGACCAAAGGACAGATTTTCCACCGGTCTAATGTCCATTGCTCGTGTTTCTTGGCCCAAGCAAGTCTCTTCTTCTTATTGGTGTCCTTCAGTAGTGGTTTCTTTGCAGCAATTCGACCATGAAGGCCTGATTCACGCAGTCTCTTCTGAACAGTTGATGTTGAGGTGTGTCTGTTACTTGAACTCTGTGTAGCATTTATTTGAGCTGTAATCTGAGGTGCAGTTACCTCTAATGAACTTATCCTCTGCAGCAGAGGTAACTCTGGGTCTTCCTTTCCTGTGGCGGTCCTCATGAGAGGCAGTTTCATCATAGCGCTTGATGGTTTTTGCAACTGCACTTGAAGAAACGTTAATGTCTTAAAGTAATGATGGACTGTCGTTTCTCTTTGCTTAGTTGAGCTGTTCTTGCCATAATATGGCCTTGGTCTTTTACCAAATAGGGCTATCTTCTGTATACCACCCCTTCCTTGTCACAACAACTGATTCGCTCAAACTGATTAAGGAAAGAAATTCCACAAATTAACTTTTAACAAGGCACACCTGTTAATCGAAATGCATTCCAGGTGACTACCTCATGAAGCTGGTTGAGAGAATGCCAAGAGTGTGCAAAGCTGTCATCAAGGCAAAGGGTGGCTACTTTGAAGAATCTCAAATATAAAATATATTTGGATTTGTTTAACACTTTTTTGGTTACTACATGATTCCATGTGTTACAATGTAGAAAATAGTACAAATAAAGAAAAACCCTGGAATGAGTAGGTGTCCAAACTTTTGACTGGTACTGTATGTCAATTGTAAAGTATTTTGTCTGTAATGTCTTTTTTGTTGTGTCGTACCCCAGTAAGACTAGCTGTCGCCATTGGCGACGGCTAATGGGGATCCTAATAGATCAATAAAACGTTAACAGGACAAGGAGAGGTAAGCGAGTGGGTGGTGCCCAGGGTCATAGTATTTTTAACAGTATGTCATGCAGCATGATAGAGAGAGAGAAACAGTCAGTCAGTGAGAGGTGTCTGCCTTGTCTGTCTAGTGACAGGAGGGCAGGAGTAGTAGTTCCTGCAAAACAGTCTGCTGAGTGATTAGTGATGTCATTCTCTCATAGTGACAAACACATTCTGGAATGCAATGCCCCCTGCTCCCACAATCCCCCATACAACCACTACTGAATAGGCCATCTGCAGCTCTCCTTTCCTCCTCTCCTCTACCTCTCAATGAGCCAGTGATGACTCTTAGCTGACTCAGCTCCTAGGATGGAAAACAACCTCACAACAGTATTAGTTTTTCTATTGCTGTGACCTAATCTTACCACTAGGTGGGAGTGAGAGAGCTGATGATCACAGTAAGCAGCATGAAGTAGAAAGGTTTGTGTTAGTTTTCCCTCACTGGTTATAATAATTATTAACTAGAATGTAGATACACTGCATGACGTTAGACCTCAACACAATAGGCTTTGCCAAGCCTTTCCTGTGAATCCAATGTGACCAACTATATACTGATCAAGATAATTTTTAGGAAGGATATGTGAAGATTCTCAGTCAACCAAACTTCAAAAACATGCCAGAAGTACTGAAGGCAATCCACATCAAATATACAGGACCCCCTATTAAGTTCAAATCAGCCTTTTTCTCTATTCTTAGCCTCAAGATGTATTTCAAGCCTGAAGCTTCTGAACAGAATGAGAAACTCTCCAAGAGCATTCAGAGCCTCAAGGTGTTGTGGCTCTCTATTTGTCTGGATAGTTTCGTTTGCTTTGATCAGAGGCACCCAAATATGGTACCATTCATCAAACTTTAAAGCCACAATCTGAGATTCGTTCAACAGTAGCCTCACCACTTTTTTCCCTATAGAGCTGAGGGATACGGCTGGAGAAATGTAACCTCTCTCAAATTCGTAGATTAAGCTATGGATGTAAGGACTGTGACAGTCCATGAGATCAACATGATAGTAAACAAACAACGTATAGCTTCAGCAATAAGACATTGTTTACAAATAATGGAGTAAAACAACATGAGGGGTAAACTACAAAGCAGGATCAAAGAGTTAGCCAGCTAACTTGCCTAAATATTGTAAAATAACTTTTTATTTGTTTGAAAGAATCTTGAAATGGACATGGTCTAATTTACTCAAAAACCACATATCTAGGCTTAGCTTTCTTAAAGCTGCAATATGTAACCTTTTGGGCAACCCAACCAAATTCACATAGAAATGTGAGCTACAGATATGTAATTAACGCGATAGATCTGTTATATGTGCGCTATTTCTATGCTTCCTGTTAAGTTTCGTTTTTACGTCTTTTACTTTCGGTTTTGTACACCAGCTTCAAACAGCTGAATATACAATATTTTATACAACTATGAGAATTTTTGCAACTAGGAAATGGCAGAACGATTTCTGCATATTGCACCTTTAATGAACCAGAAAATCCTTTATCGAAGTTGCTTAACTCATTGATTGTGCTTTGTAGTAGACCCCTCGTTCAAAAAATAAAATAAAAATACTCACCAGTGATTCCGACTTTATAGAGCTGTCTGAACCTCTGGTTGAAGGACTCCCCTGGTACGTAATCTCCCAGTCCAATGGTACTTAGTGATATAAAACAGAAGTAGATGCTTTCCAGGAAGTTCCAGTTCTCCTCTAGGGAGGAGAAGATGGCCGCCGGGATGAGAAAGAAACAGGAAGCAGCCAGGATGGCGAGGAGTGTGGCGTGGACCACGGCTACGACAGGCTTGGACAGGCCCCAGCGGGTCGACACGTACATGACTGGGCGGCGCGTGCTGAAGACCATGATGCGTTGGACCACGGCAGTGAGGAAGAGGAGGGTGAAGGGGATGCCGATCACAGAGTAAACGATACAGAAGGCTTTGCCTCCATCGGAGAGTGGAGCAGTGTGGCCATATCCTGGATGAAACACATAAAGGGACATTGACAGGTTAGTTGAGATAATGATAAATGTAAATGTAGCCTTTAACTTTCACATTAAAAAGGAAATGTGTTTCTTAACACCAAAAATATGCCTATTGCACACTAGAGAAAACACTAGAGTTGCACCCTTTCCTTTTGTTTAATCCGTTTCTGAACAACAAAACAAGATATATATTGTCAGTAGCTCAAGTCTTTGTTTCTTTGGCAAAGCCTTATATACTTGCTAGTTTTTAAAGCTGTTTACAACAATAGCAAGGAGCAACAGAACACCATATTATCTCATGTAGACAGGCAAACCAGCATAGCCATGACAGCAGAGGGGGTTTGAGCACTCTGTTCTGTAGCTCATGGCACTCACACGTGAAGTTGACATTAAAGAAAAGAGAATGTAGCATGTTTTGGTTAAGTGTTCCTGGCATGAGTGTTTTAAATGCAATGGCCCTCCAACACAACCATGCAGATTTGGAACTCAACTAAGCTACTTTATATGTCAGAGAAGGCCTACAATGATACATTGTCATCAATATCTTTACTATGTCAAAAAAGTTGTCAGGAATGTTATCCTGCAGTAAAATTCTCTCTATCAAGTAATGTGATGGACGGTTATGTCAAGATGAGCTGATGGAACATTGAGAGAGATTGAATGTAAAGTATTACCATGTGTGACTGACCTGACACCAAAAAGAAAGCTCCCCTCTGAGAAAATAAAGTGACCTCTTTACTGCAGTAACAGGCTACTGCTACCATAGCGTCCTATCAAGAAGCAATGTGGTGGATTGTAATGACTAGAACTGAGCTGAGTGAGTTCTTCTATACCAGGGTTTCCCAAACTCGGTCCTTGGGACCCCAAGGGGTGCACGTTTTGGTTTTTGCCCTAGCACTACACAGCTGATTCAAATAATAAACTAATCATCAAGCTTTGATCATTAGAATCAGTGTTAGGGCAAAAACCAAAACGTGCACCCCTTGGGGTCCAGAGGACCGAGTTTGGGAAACGCTGTCTATACCACCTGTGAAACTAATAGCTCTACACCATAGCTTCCCTTACTTTACTTTTTCATGGATCTCTCTGGCTGTATTATGACTATTGTATTTTTTCTTGTGTTTCATTGTTGCAATTAAAAGAGTACATAGCTTTCTGTGTGAGGAAAATGTGACTTTTTGAGAAGGAACTGTGGTAGGTGACTTGAGTCATGTCATGGAAGTATTGAATGACAATAGATCCCTAATCTTGTCGAACCGGATTGTCTGCAGTCGGCACGCCCATATTTCCCAGCTTTAGGCCTATCCTTGTGACTATGGTCTATTTACATGGGACCACACACTAAGCCTATGTATCACCTGGGACTTAAGGTGCAACGAACTCAGACACCAATTTCAAAATGGCCTATATGTTGAAAGCACAGAGTCAAAGATAACTTAACTTCTGGGTGTCTTTATATCACATGGGGTTAGGACCAAAATTCTACAAAGACATGAAACTAATGTAGGCCTTTTACGCAATAGGCTATAAGATAAGGAGGCTGTTATATGCAACACCTATTCAAAAGATAAACGCATTTGCTGTCTGATCTGAAGAATGTAATGCTGGTATCCCATCCCTAAACATTACTTATGTGAGGCCTACATACAACTACATATTTTGTAACTTAAAGTTAGGCTCACACGGCATTGAGGACTTAAATTATGTGTTGTTTTCTTTTAAAGTCGGTAATCATTGGTGGGAGTGTCAAATTACAGACCCAGGCTTGTAGGCTTTTTTTAAAGGATAAATGTGTTAATTGCGTGAGAAAGAACGTGCTCTTGCTCACTGCATAAACACAGACAAGCAGGCAGACAGACAGACAGACAGACAGACAGACATTGAGGGCATACTGTATATTATCATGGTGTAGAGTGTCGCGAAAGGATACATTTCAGTGTCACAGGCAAAATAATGCAACCTGCTTTCAGGAAGGTCGTGTGCCTACGTTACAGGAAGGTTATGACAATAATCAACTATATTACCACCATACATGACTACGTAAGCAAGCAACTCCCTTATTTTTCTGAAAATAGAGCTATTAAAAGCAACAAATATCTGAATGGCACCTATTCATTTCTCCGGGGCGATGCGCCGACGCAGAACGCGCTTTGACGCGGAGCCTGCATCACCTCCTGCGAGCCCCGTAGATGTCATTCAACGTTCCATCGATAGATGGCTGAAAAGTAGTAGCCTACACTTAAAATAGGCCACTGACTGACTCACCTGTGGTAGACAATACAGTACTGGCGAAAAACAGCGAGGAGGTGAAGTCCCAATTCCAATTTGCCGATGCGTTGTTGAGAATGGACACTCCATAGTTACTGGCCTCGAGCGCTTTCTCCAAAAACTCCTCGAGGCGTTCTTCCGATAGACATTCGTTATCTTGGAGGAATTGTTTTTTGATGGTTCGGAGTTCCTGGCGTAGAAGGTCTTCGTAAGGCAGTTCCACAGAGGAAAAGACAACAGCTCCGAATATAAGATACAGAATATAGCCCAAGACTAGAAACAAAAAATACCATGTCGATTTGTGACTTTCTATCAACCGCACACACGAATTGTTAGTTAGCGATTGTAGCATTTTCCAAGAGTTCTTGAATCATGAAGTTGATAGGCTACAGTTGATATCCTTGTCATAAACAATGAATAGCATAGACGCTACAATTGTAACAACGTCGGCTACAATGTCTTCTAGCTTATTTCTAGTTAACACATGCGCGGTCCTTAGCAACAGCTATGGATATACGATCAAAAGCAAAGCGTATGATGAGAATCGTTTATTTTCCGTCCCTTCTCTCTGTCTGTTTGGAGAGGCTATATGGACACGCCTGGTGCCCAAATTGATGACGTTTGTCTTGCACCGAGAGTCGAGTGGAGACGAACGGATTCGGTTCAGTTTTTCTTCCTGATGAGCACTTCCCAGCTAGGTAGTTTATGCTTGTGGCTAGAAACTTAAGCAATACTTTGAAACTTGTCTGCCGATGTTGGTATCATTCCGTTTTTATCGGAGTAATTTTTTTTTTTTCTCTTTTTTTTTTTTTTTTTTTAATGTTAGACAATGTCGTACTTGTAGGCTACATTTTCGGTTAAAATCACTACAATAAATGTGTTTTAGCTGTCACCCTGGCCTGATTGATTTTGGCTACACTATATATACTGAACAAAAATATAACAGCAACAATTTCAACGATTTTACTGAGTTAGAGTTCATATAAGGAAATCAGTCAATTGAAATGAATTCATTAGGCCCTAATCTATGAATTTCACTTGACTGGGCAGGGGCGCAGCCATGGGTGGGCCAGCCAATCAGAATGAGTTTTTCCCCACAAAAGGGCTTTATTTCAGACAGAAATACTCCTCAGTTTCATCAGCTGTCCAGGTGGCTGGTCTCAAATCCAATCAAACTTTATTTGCCACATGCGCTGAATACAACAGTGAAATGCTTACTTACAAGCCCTTAACCAACAATGCAGTTTTTAAGAAAAGGAAAAAAAGTGTTAAGTAAAAAATAATTAAAGACAATCCCGCAGGTGAATCAGCCGGATGTGAAGGTCCTGGGCTGGCGTGGTTACACATGGTCGGCAGTTGTGAGGCCGGTTGGACGTACTGCCAAATTCTCTAAAACGACGTTGAAGTCGGCATATGGTAGAGAAATTAACATTAAATTATCTGGCAACAGCTCTGAAGATACAAAAAGATGGCGCCGACATACATGGCAGCTCTGTTTCTAGCTCTTAAGCAACTTTGCAGCTTTTTGTGTTATTTCTTAAATTATTAGCCCAGAATTTTTTTTTTTATTACATACAGCCGGAAATAACTTTTGGATATCAGAGCGGCGGTAACTCACCAGCATTATGACTAGGAATACGACTTTCCCGAATTGGATCCTTTGTTCATACCCCACAGGGCAATTGAACTTAACCCAGAGGCTAATCCAAGACGCCCACCGGGGGAGAAGAGGTATTCGGAGTGGAATTCTAGTCCGACTCAGGAAGCGTGCACACCATCCACCGCTTCCGAGTATATTACTCGCTAATGTTCAGTCTCTGGACAATAAAGTAGACGAGCTCAGGGCGAGGATCTCCTTCCAGAGAGACATCAGGAACTGTAACATACTCTGTTTCACGGAATCATGTCTCTCTCTGGATATACTGTCCCCGTCCATACAGCCAGCTGGGTTCTTAGTACATCGCGCAGAAAGGAATAAAGAACTCTCTGGAACAAGAAAGGCGGTGGTGTATGTTTCATGATTAACTACTCATTGTGTGATTGTGATAACGTACAGAAACTCAAGTCCTTTTGTTCACCCGACCTAGAATACCTCACAATCAAATGCCGACCGTATTACCTCACAATATATTTTTTTTAGGTTATAGTCACAGCCGTGTATATTCCCCCTCAAGCCGATACCACGACTGCCTTTGTGCAAACTGGAAACCACATATCCTGAGGCCGCATTTATTGTAGCTGGGGATTTTAACAAAGCAAATTTGAGGAAAACGCTACCGAAGTTCTATCAACACATTGCCTGTAGTACTCGCGCTGCAAAAACGCTCAACCATTGTTACTCCCCCTTCTGGGATGGCTATAAGGCCGTAATTCGCCCTAAACACCTAATTCGCCCGCAATGAGGATAACACAGTGCCACCGACGCGGCCCGCTCCCAAGGACTGTGGGCTCTCGTTCTCCGTGGCCGACGTGAGTAAGACATTTATGCGTGTTAACCCTCGCAAGGCTGCTGGCCAAGACGGCATCCCTAGCCGCATCCTCAGAGCATGTGCAGACCAGCTGGCTGGAGTGTTACGAACATATTCAATCTCTCCCTATCCCAGTCTGCTGTCCCCACTTGCTTCAAGATGTCCACCATCGTTCCTGTACTCAAGAAAGCAAAGGTAACTGAACTAAATGACTATCGCCCCGTAGCACTCACTTCTGTCATCATGAAGTGCTTTGAGAGGCTAGTTAAGGATCATATCACCTCTACCTTAACTGACACCCTAGACCCACTTCAATTTGCATACCGCCCCAATAGATCCACAGACAATGCAATCGCCATCGCACTGCACACTGCCCTATCTCATCTGGATAAGAGGAATACCTATGTAAGAATGCTGTTCATTGACTATAACTCAGCCTTCAACACCATAGTACCCTCCATGCTCATCATTAAGCTCGGGGCCCTGGGTCTGAACCCCGCCCTGTGCAACTGTGTTCTGGACTTCCTGACGGGCCGCCCCCAGGGGGTGAAGGTAGGAAACAACACCTCCACTTCGCTGATCCTCAACACAGGGGCCCCACAAGGTGCGTGCTCAGCCCCCTCCTGTACTCCCCGTTCACCCATGACTGCGTGGCCAAGCACGCCTCCAACTCAATCATCAAGTTTGCAGATGACACAACAGCAGTAGCCCTGATTACCGACAATGACGAGACAGCCTACAGGGAGGAGGTGAGGGCCTTGGTGGAGTGGTGCCAGGAAAATAACCTCTCCCTCAATGTCAACAAAATGAAGGAGCTGATCGTGGACTTCAGGAAACAGCAGAGGAAGCACGCCCCTATCCACATCGATGGGACCACAGTGGAGAAGGTGAAAAGCTTCAAGTTCCTCGGCATACACATCACTGACAATCTGAAATGGTCCACCCAAAACAGACAGTGTGGTGAAGAAGGTGCAACAGCGCCTCTTCAACCTCAGGAGGCTGAAGAAATTTGGCTTGGCCCATAACACCCTCACAAACTTTTACAGATGCAGAATTGAGACCATCCTGTCGTGCTGTAACACCGCCTGGTACGACAACTGCACCGCCCGCAACCGCAGGGCTCTCCAGAGGGTGGTGCGGTCTGCCCAACGCATCACCGGGGGCACACTGCCTGCCCTCCAGGACACCTACATCACCCGACGTCACAGGAAGGCCAAAAAGATCATCAAGGACATCAACCACCCGAGCCACTGCCTGTTCACCCCGCTATCATCCAGAAGGCAAGGTCAGTACAGGTGCATCAAAGCTGGGACCGAGAGACTGAAAAACAGCTTTTACCTCAAGGCCATCAGACTGTTAAATAGCCATCACTAGCCGGCTACCACCCGATTACTCAATCCTGCACCTTAGAGGCTGCAGCCCTATGTACATAGACATGGAATCACTGGTCACTTTGATAATGAAACACTAGTCATTTTAATCATGTTTACATACTGCTTTACTCATTTCATATGTATATACTGTATTCTATTCTACTGTATTTTAGCCAATGCCACTCCGACAGGCTCGTCCTAATATTTATATATTTTTGAATTCAATTATTTTACTTTTAGATTTGTGTGTATTGTTGTGAATTGTTAGATACTACTGCACTGTTGGAGCTAGGAACACAAGCATTTCGCTACACCCGCAATAACGTCTGTTAAATATGTGTATGTGACCAATAACATTTGATTTGGACATTCCTGCAGTCAGCATGCCAATTGCATGCTCTCTCAAAACTTGAGACATCAGTGGCATTGTGTTATGTGACAAAACTGCACATTTTAAGAGTGGCCTTTTATTGTCCCCAGCACAACGTGCACCTGTGAAATAATCATGCTGTTTAATCAGCTTCTTCATATGCCACACCTGTCAAGTGGATGGATTATCTTGGCAAAGGAGAAATGCTCACTAACAGGGATGTGAACAAATTTTGCACACAATTTCAGAGAAATACGTTTTTTTGTGGGTATGGAACATTTCTGGGATCTTTTATTGAAAGATGGGATCAACACTTTAAATGTTGCGTTGATATTTTTGTTCAGTATAGCTACAGCACTTCCCTCTCTTTTTACTGCGGCAAGCGGGAGCGAAGGACACTGTGACTCGTGTTGCTGTGTCGTCGGCTTGCAGCACAAACTCTCCCTAGCATTGAGCAGTGTAGACTATCCCGTTGACATCCAGATGGTAACTTCCAATAGCCTATTACAAGTTATTTATCGTGTAGGCTGCTATCAAGTGGGATGGAACAAATTGGAGATAGTGACCAATACTCCTAAGTTATTTCCCTATTAACATAAACATCATAGTTGCCTGCATTAACTAGCTCGGCTGACTGAACCGAATCCATTCGTCTCCGCACTCGACTCTCAGCTGCGTGACATACGTCATCCATTTGGGCACAGGCGTGTCTGTATAGCCTCTCCCCTGTCTGTACTCTGTCTATTCAGTTCACTTTCACCGAGAAGGGTCGAGCTGCTGCTGAGAGGAGGAGGATGATGTGGTGGCGGACTGTGTGACGTTAGTCTGTTCCTCTCTTATCTCCTCCCATGGCAAAACACATTGAGAGAGAGACACTCGGGCGTAGAGAGTAGTCTATAGCACCTCTTTGGCTATAGCTATTGTAGTCGAAGGTAACAGACGATCAGCGAAAAAGCTAAAGGCGTAGTGAAATCACACATTTTTTCTAAAATTAGATGCTATTGCTGAAAGTGAAATTGGGGGGTTGACTTTTTATATGGTGTTAACCCCTACCCAAAGAGAATGACAGACATTATTGGCAGGGTCAACTTTATTATTTTAGTAAGCTGTGGCCTGTCTCGTCCCTCTTCTGGATGTGTGT